TACGCAATACCGGTCCTATATCAGAGTTATCAAAAGGCTTATGTCAGACTCTGATCATCAAAGTCTAACGATCCAAGAAAAAGCCCTGAGCGAGACTGCTTAAGTCCGTAAGCAAGAATGGTTGAGATAATGTGATATGAGCTTGTAAGCATGTAAGTCAAGCTACGAAACCACTTGTCCTAATCTCGAGTTCTAGGGTCATTAAAGTTTAACCCTTCAAGGAAAGACATGACTGAGGCTGCATAATCTGGTCTGTCTGGTCTAGTTGATGAGCTTTATCAAACAGGTTGGACGAGTGTGAGGGTAATTAGAACCATCAGCGAACAGTTAAATTGAGTTACCTTCTTTTAGACGGCGGCTCAATGTTCTCTCTCTCTCCTTCAATCTATCAATCAAGTATAAGTAGTTCCTGTTAACCTTTCTACCACCGTTCCTCACATTCAACGTATTTTGTGAGCTATCAATTTCAATAGCTTCTTTTATCTTTGTTTCAACCATAGACGTACCATAATCAACAAACCTACTAGTTTGAGACCATTCTATTTCATGTCCAGTTTCTATCATGTGTTCTGCCACTTATGACCGTTGGACCCTGCTTCCTTTACAAGCATTTTTGTGTTCCCCCAATCTTTTCAAATAGGTCGGCATGTCTCACCGACATAAAATCGACCACATAAGCAAACAATCTTTTAGCAGCCGGATCTTGATGATGGTTCATATTTCTCTAAAAGATGGCATAACAATAGAAAGTGTGAGGGTTTCTTTGAACAGTGTTTTCATTCCCCACTTTCTTACTAATTCGCCTATCATTTATGAGAGAAGGCATGACGGCAAAATTAGGACATGAGAAAAGGTCTCAGTCCGTCTATTTTTGACTAAATGGTCTCCATCTGAAAATTTATTCCTTAGTAGAGAGATATTATTCTCAATAAGGCACAAAGAATAATTATTTTCCAGGAATATATTTGTCACCCGTTCCAACCCTTTAGTAAAATGTTTGCTATCCGCTAGCTTCATACTTCTAAGAAGCATTGACTTAAACATTCCAACCTTAGTCTTGTAACTATGGTAGGAAAGAGAATTAAGCGCAGAGTCAACATTTGTTGGCTTCCTATACACATCTCTTCCTAGCTTACCCTTTTGTCTAATGATGAGAACATCCAGAAAAGGTAAGGACTTATTCTCTTTCATTTCCATTGTAAACATATTGTTCCTTTCACGCTGGTTGACTGAATGTAGGAAACTATCTAAACTTTCTTTACCACAAGGCCAGATGACAAGATAATCATCCATTTATCTAACCCGCAATTTTGGGGTTATTAATGCCTCTTGCAGGAAGTGTTCCTCAAGTCTTGCTTTATAATTGTTCGCCAAGATGGGAGCCAGGCAAGATCCCATCGTTAGTCCTTGTGTTTGTTCTAATAACTTACCATCGAAGGTAAAATATGTGTTTCTCATGGATAGGCTAATAAGTATAATAATGGAAGCTACACTCAGCCTTATTCCTGGTGTTATCTCTGGATGCTCCTCCAGAGATTGTGACAGAGCTTGAATAGCTCCTGGACAGGAATGTTTGTGTACATAGACGCAACATCAAAACTTACTAGCCTATCCTCTTCTAAAGTCTCTTCTGATCCATCAATTTCATAAAATCATACGAATGTTTAACTGAATATAGCCAACCATTTGCAAAATTCCTTAGCTGTATGCATTAAAAGCGTGAGATTTAATGCATCACGCTTCCTTTATTGTTTACAATTAATCTTAGAGGGACACCCTCCTTGTGAACCTTAGGGAGACCGTAAGCCGTGGGGGCCTTTGCATCTACCTGGAGTAGTGAATTCATTTCCCAATTTTCCATTTCACCATCACTTACGCATACCTTAAGGGCATCCTTTAGCTTAGTCTTAAGTCTTTCTGATGGATCTCTCAGTTAAGGCCTATACGTATCATTGTCATTTAAATGAACTAGCATTTTTTCTACATAACTTGTCTCATTCATGACTATCACTGTTCCACCTTTGTAGGCTTTCATAGCGATTAGATTACTACCACATATATATCTAAAAACCCCACTACGATAAAAATCTTTCTTTGGCAGTATTGTTTGGTTAAAATGAGGGATCACCTCCAGTTCCATACTATTCCTTACCTCTTCAAACAATCTATCAGATAAGCTAATTAATTCAAAAAGTATTTCCACTGAATGGTTTACCTCATTTGGAAGAGCCAAATTAAATCTTCTTTTCAATAAAGGTACTACAATATCCTCCAGAGTTGTTCTATACGGCAGTTTCAATCTACTAAAGGCTTGCTGTTTAAATTGGCCCAGATTAGTATGGCCCATTCTCCAAAATTAATACGCGCCATTGTCGATCATAGCTTGTTGTGCTAATGAGTTCATTCTTACTTATTTTTTATTTTTGTTACTAGCGAGAAATTCATTCTTACCTTTATAATTATCTGGTTATCTCTTGTATATTTACCGGATTTATAGACATTTCAATTTAGACAATATATACTATCACTATCCTTTCTTTTCCTACTTTCTCCTTATTCTACTTTTTCTTGTTTCCTTTCTCCTGCTTTTTCTCCTCTTTTTAACTTTAATGGATACTAACTTTAACAGCGACTTCACCTTGTATATAAATCCTATCAATATATATATATATACATATATATATAATATTAAAGTAACTCGCTTCTAAATTTTGCTTAACCTTTTGACCAGATTTCGGAGCTTGAGGCCCGCAAATTTGCCGAAGAGAATGGAATCACTATATTTCTTGAGACTTCTGCTAAGTCAGGCGACAATGTGCAAGAAGCATTTTTGACTGGCGCTAGGGCCGTGCTGGAGCGTGTCCGCTCAACAAATATGATGGAAATCTGTGCTCCGGGAAACCAGGCTGGTACTGCCTACCTTTCGACCAACCGTAGCATGGGCCCATCAAACAATAATTGCTCTTGTTGACATCTTTCTCCCACTACCATCCCTTTTCCCTTCTTTCAACTTAACTTTTACACCCACTTTACTTAGTACTCACTGAGCATGATCAAATGTGGACCTACGGACTTTAAGGTAATTTATCTATTATATGAGGAAACCACATGGTTGAAATTATCCTTTATTTGGCCTAAACTAATATTTCTTTAGTTCACCTACCGCTGGGCCTCCTTAGCTAAATTTATTCTTAACGTGGATTTTCCAACCGAGCTATTTCTCGTCTTTTCTCATATTCACAAATGTAGCGTTTGATTTGTCAAATGAAGTTTCGCTAATGTGGAGCTCAAAATTGTTGCACTTTTAATCCTCTATCCACCTTTATCCGTTCAGTCTATTTTGGTTATTCCTAGTGCCGCGTGAATTTTGTACAGCATCCAATGGAGCTTTCTTGCTGGTTAGTTCTTGTCGTCATTTTCTAAATAAAGGTAAATATAAAAAAATAACAAATTTCAGACTTGTGCTCATATGTACAATGCTCGCATGCTTGTGTGAGGCCATTTAGGTTTTTCCCACTTTTATGCTTGAATTCTTAAGGTCTCACTCTATCCCACGATCGCTCTACTAGACCAAACGATATCAATCAATTATAAACTCCGTTTCGATAACATTAGCGTTTTTACCCACATACATATGGGTTCATCCATGGTCTTTTCTCTTCTTTAGGCCTTTATTCATCTAGTTCAAGTTATTTTATAAAAACACTACTGATCAAGTGCCACTTTTATCTATCAGCCATGTAGGTTAATGCTTGAAAGTTTCAGAACTTTTAAGCCAGATAAATTATCGTTTACGCAACTGATATTAATTCTGCCTTGGGCTCATTAAGGATGGAGACACTTAACTGCTTTCTATCTTTTCTGCATTTGTCCTTCTATCTTATCATCCCTGCATCACACTATCCAACTTCTTATGTCTTTTTCTAACCTGTAAAACCATTTACTTA